GTATAGTCCCCATTACTCCCACCCAGGGAGAGCAGAGGAGCAATGTATGTGGTATAGATAATTTTCCTCCCAGATTCCCTATAATTTTGTTTCTGAAGGACTGACAGCAGGCCTGCCATCTCTTGCCAGAGCTATAAAATCTTATCCACCTCCCCTTCCAGTCACCAGGAGATCCCCTATTCAGGAATCCCCCCACTATTTCTAGGCATTTTCTCTCCCTGGATGACAATATATTGGCTTGTGTAAGCTCTTGTGTGTAGGAGTGGTATATGCCAAGGAAATATAGTCTCATGCCCTAAAAGTCTTCCTAACCTCCCCCCAATACACACACACACACACACACACACACACACACATACACATTTCAGTGTGTTTGCTGCCATCAGCAGAGCTCAAAGCAAGCTCATTTCCCCAAGGTTGTCACAACTTGACTTCCCAAATTGTACTAAAACAGAAAACAAACAGAAAAGTGAATCCACCCAAGCAAGATTCTCAGGAATGGTTTGGCAGGCATGAGCCACGCGCTAACCACTTCAAGCTGTCTTCAGACTTTTCTAGCTAAGCAATATGTACCCATAACCAGATGTGCCCTGATACTGGGAGAAGGGATCGTCGGCTTCTAGGGACAAGGATTCACAAAACAGGAAAATATTCATCAAGAGATACAGCTTGAAAATAGGCTTGATGCAGAGAAGCTGCCTCTGCCTTTCCTAGTGTGGCATGGCCTTAGTCAAGGACTTATTGTGCTTCTCCTGTTTCTTGGCCAGTAGGGGCTGCTGTTCACATTGGTCAAGGGCCCTTTGGCCACTGGAGAGAGTACCTGGAAGGGCCCCTTGGTTTCTGTAGGAATTTAGAGAAGTTATACCCTTCTAAGTCATATATATACACACACGCATACATATATATATATATATATACATATATATATATGTATATATACACATACATACATACATACATATATACATACACATACACACATACATGCATACATATATATACACACATACATATATGTATATATAAAGTTTTTCCAGTGGGAATGAAGATGATGTCAGAAATTTTGAGACCAGGGCTTCTGCCCAGTCTTTAGAGAGTGATAGTAATGAGGAGGCCAGGAGTCCAATCCATTTGGATTCCCTACTGAGTTCCCCCAATCAATCCAAATAAAGTACCCCCACCAAAGGTCACCGACAGCCAAGAAGCCTGATCTAAACCACGTAGACTTAATCTACCCTAGCATCAAAGGCAGCAGAAGGCCCTGCTTCTGTTCAAACAGCTATTGCCACAGACATCTCTTGGCTGCCATTACTACAAGTTTCATTGGGAACTCTTTGGCCTCAATCCCTGACTTTGCCCTTTGAACATCCTAGATACAACTCTAGACCTTTAGACAAAGGACTAGGCTGCTTTACTTTTACCAAGCTACCTGGCTTCATTTCTGACTATCACTGCCTGGCCCATAATGAATAACCCCTCACAGTCCATCATGACTACCGCAAGACTGTGAAGAACATAAACTGATACCAACATGGTCATCAGCCTATTTCTTCACAAAAACGGAGCCAGTCAATGAAGCGCAAGATAAGGAGAACAAGATTGCCACGAAGACACATAAAATCCCTTAGCACTAGTCCCAGGTAATGGTCAGACCATTTACAAGCTCTTCTCTGCTTCACTTCCAATGCCATGCCTCCAAGAACTTGCCTGAGCTCTAGTCGGCCAACTTCCACCTTATCTTGCATGGTTCCAGGCCAAACTGTATAGTCTCCACTGGGGTCACAGTCTCCACTTCCTCCCCACCAAAACCTTGGACTCTGGGTTCTATTAGGCCAGCTTTGGTTTCTTCTTGTTTGGATTCAGGCCTCCTTCACATTTCTGGATCATTTCTACAGACCAAGCTGCCATTTGAGTGCCCTCTCTCCTACCTTTTCCCTCCCTCTTTCTAGATCCCTTTATGCATGGTCTCACCTCATCAGAATATGAACCCCTTGTGGACAGAGACTATCTTGTTTGCTTAAATTTGTATCCCTGGAGCTGAACACAGTGTCTGGTACACAGTAAGCATTTAATAAATGTTTTATCTATATCTACCTCCCTAGCTCTCTATCTCAGTCCAGAGAATAAGATGAGGTTCCCAAGGGAAGCCAGCTGAAGGAAAGTCTGGATGCCTTGCAGGAGGATATCTGAGTTTCCCTACTTCCTCTCTTTCTGCCCTCCCTTCCCCCACCCCCACCATACTTATTCTGAGTACACAGAGAGGAGAAGAAAAAGCAGAGTGTTTATGACTAGTACACAATCTGGACCAGGGTGGGGAACCTGCAACCTCAGTGCCACATGTGACCCTCTAGGTCCTCAAGTAGGGCCCTCTGACTGAATCCAAACTTCACAAAACAAATCCCCTTAATAAAAGGATTTGTTCAGTAAAACTTGGATTCAATCAAAAGGCCACACCCAAGGACCTAAAAGGCTATATGTAGCCTCAAGCCCCCTGGTTCCCCACCCCTGAGGGACTGTCCTAGCTACTTCTCCAAGCAGCATCCCCTACCCCTCCATCTGTACGCACTGCCCACACAACTCTCAGCACCAATCCTTGTTCAGGGCTCCAGTCCTTAAAGAAGATGGGACTGGCCTCTCACCTCAGACCATTCTTTTGGGGCCTAACCACCTAACAGAGTCAGACCTCATCTTTCTTAGGTTGCAGACCCCTTTGCCTCCAGTTACAGAAAAGGATCCTTCCTCATTAAATCCCAGGCTGCAAGGCCTTTATTGCTAAGGCTCATGCTCAGACATACCAGAAGATAAGCAGAGTCAATGCCTTTCTTCTCTGAGAATCCTGGATTCCTGAAACGTGGTCTAAATCCTTCTTTGGACCTTAAGCCCTGGGACAGTAACAACTTGAGTAACTTCTTATTAGCTTCACATTTGTCAGCTTTAATCACCTGTTTCCTCTGGAGTCTCCCAGTTGTATTACATTCTTTGTTGCCTGGATGCCTGCCTGCTTGCACCAGAGACAGAATGGGTGTGTCTGTCACAATCAGGTGTGAATTGCTCACCTCTGGCAGGAGCCCACCCTCAGTCATTATTTTCCCATAATGAAACTCTCAGCAAGGCACAAACCCCTCCTTAAGCTAATACATGATTAGCCTTCACAATAGGACTGTAAATAGACTCCTAATTAACGGATTTGCTTAGAGTTATCCCCTGTTTGGGGACTGCAGCCTGATAATTGCAGGCTTTATAATGGTCAATCAATCAACTGAGCCCCTACATTACTGAGCACCTAATGGATGCCCAGCCCTCTGACTGGACTTGTGGGGGAGACAGAAGGAGAAAACACAATCCCTGGCCTCCAGGAGTTGTCAGATTAGCTGAAAATTTGGAGAACACCAGGCTGTCTAATTAAGTGCAAGATTGGGTGCTTGAGTTTTTTAAGCCTGTAGGAATTCAGAGGTCACTGCAGGATAGAGGAAGACTTTGAAGAAGGTGAGACTTATACTGAGCCTTGAAGGATGTGCAAGATTTTTGTGGGCCCCAGTGTTACTCTGCAGTTACATCCTTTCCCTCCCCAGTTAAGTCCTGGCATGAATGTGCTGGTGAAACTATTGCCTGACTCAATCCAGTGGAAGTCAACTTCCCTGTCTCTTAACTGGCATCCTCTTAAGCACCACATTGCAGCTGAAGCTGGTCTGGCTGCTCTATTAAGTGGCCCAGCTGTTGCCAGGGCTTCAGACAGCTCCCAGTCTGTCTGTCTGTCTCTGACTCTCTCTGTCTCTGTCTCTCTGTCCTGGTCTCTCTCGTTTCTGTCTCTTTCTGTCTCTCACTCTCTATCCCTCTCTGTTTCTGTCTCTGTCTATCTCTGTCTCTAAGTTTGGATCTCTCTTTTGCTGTCTCTCTGCCTCTGCTCTCTGTCTCTGTCTTTTTCTCTCTCTGTCTCTCTGTCTCTGTCTGTTTGTCTGTCTCTCTCTCTCTCATACACACACACACACACACACACACACACACACACATGCACACAATGTACAAAGAGATACTCAGACACAAAGCCTCTGAATACACAGCCAGACACAGAAATAGACAGATGCATCCTTGCCAGGACATGTAGATGGCTAAACAAACAATAATGTAGGGCAGGAACAGGCAATGGAGTGTTTGCATTAGGGACAGGACAAGGTAAAAGGCATTTGGCTATAGGAGATGAGGGTGAGGATAAGAAGAAGGAAGAGAATAAGCATTTATTAAATGTCTACTATATGCCAGGTACTGTCTAAGCACTCAACAATTATTACTGTCGAAACAAACCTGGGAAGTAGGTACTATTATTATCCTCATTTTATAGATGAGAAAACTGAGGCAAACAGGGCTAAATGACTTATCCACGGTTCATATAGTTAGTAAGTACCTGAGGCTGGATTTGAACTCAGGTCTTCCTGACTCCAGACCTGCTGTTTTGTCCACTACATCACCTAGCTGCCTTACATGGGCAGATGCGGTTTCAATCCTGCCTCAGGCACTTACTGTCTGTGGGATCCTGCGCGAGTCCCTTAACCACTCTCAGCCTTGGTTTCCTCATCTGTAAAATGGGCATAATAATACATCTACTTCATAAGGTTGCTGTGAGGATCAGATGAGACAGGATATATAAAGCATCTGACAAACCTTAAAGCGCTATATCAGTGAAAGCTTTTATTTTTAAGTAGGAGAGAAGTTTGCGGGGAGGGGAAGGGTTTGCTATGGACTATCAGCTCTCTTTGAAGTTTTTAACCAAATTCCTTATTGAGACCTTGTTAGAAAACCAACGGCAGCAAAAGAGGGGAGCTGGGCTTCTGCTGAAGCATCCTCTGTCCCAGAGGGTCAGCTGCCTGATGGCTCCGGCATCTTTCTTTCTCCTACAGAAATCTGTGGGCATGAGTCCAACCCAGTCCTAAAGCTATTCCCCTTTCACCATGCACACATATGCTGACCAAGTCTGCAGACACACAAATCCAGCCCCAGATTACCTGGTTTTATTTAGTTTCCATGTGCTATAATCCACCTTAGGAATGTGTCCATATGCATCTGAGCTGCTTTCAAAGGCCCAGATTCATTCAGCATTGCTGTCTTCCCCATGTTGTGACCCTAGGTCTCTGGGTCAGGGGCCCAGTGGGCTGGGATCATGGATGTGTGAAGGTGCAGCTGTAGACCAGAATTTGGTACTAATGGAGTCCTAGAAACAGTTATGGAACATATATAACTGCAAGAGAAAGAGAGAAATGCATAGTGTGGGAATCCTGAGACATTAATTTGAGTCCTAACCCTGCTTAACCCTACCTCGGTGACCATGGAAAAAGTCATTTAACTTCTCTGACCTCAGTTTCTTAATCTGTAAAATGGTGATGACATATTTGCACTATCTCACAGATGTGTTAGAAAGCCCTCAACTAAGGAAGCACTCAGTCATCTGCTAGCCATATGGTACATAGAATGCTGTACAGTTTCCTCATCTGCAAATTGGGAATAACAGCACCCACCTCACAGAGTTGTTGTAAGGCTCTAATGAGATAACATATCAAAGTGTTTTATGCAGAAATACTAGCTATTATTGTTGTTATTATTGTTATCACCCCTTGAAAGAGACATAGGGGGCAGCTAGGTGGCACGGTGGATAGAGCACCAGCCCTGAAGTCAGGAGGACCTGAGTTCAAATCGGCCTCAGACCAAACACTTGACACTTACTAGATATGTGACCCTGGGCAAGTCACTTAACCCCAATTGCCTAAAAGCAAAAAAAAAAAAAAATGAAAGAGACATAAATATGAGATATTCAGGAACTGTGGCGGCAGTGCCTCCAAATGTACCAGTGTGGTCGCAACCCTGTGTCAGGGTAAGTAAAGCCAGGAAGCTTATCCTAAACCAGCCCACCACCCACTGAAGCAGTGGTCCTTCAATCCATTCTGAATGGGATAATTGTGTACCCACCTTACAGAATTATTTAGGCTGCCTGGAGGCATTCCCAGGCCATGACAGGAATGTGAACCTTTCCCCAGAAGGTCCCCCAAAGCCCTCTGCAACCGCTGAGAACCAGCTATGCTGTCTCCATTTGCCTGTGTCGAATACACACAATTTCTAGTGCTTTCTGAAGAGATATATTGGAAAATTTAGGATAGAGTGGCAGGAGAGGTGAATCCACAGCAATCTTAGGGGAGAAGAAAAGGGAATAAGCATTTGTACAGCACCTACTATGTTCCAGGCACCACGTTAAGCACTTTACAAATTCGACCATTAGCACTTTTGTGTTAGCACCAGCAAGAAGCCTTTCCTGATTGCTCCCCAAGTCCCTGACCTACGGTGAGTGCTGGAGGGGAAACAACTACACATGACAGGAAGAGCATCAGATTCAGAATCCAAAGGCCAGAGGGTCAAGTCCCACTTCTGCCTCTTGTTCTCTGATTGTGTGATCTTGAGCAAGTTGCTTATTTCCCCTCTGGGGAGAATATGAGAGGATTCATGAGAATATAAAATTATCTGGGGAAGAAATCGCTAGAGAAATACCAGAAAAACTGGAAAAGAAACTGGTAGGAAATAGGTTTAGACCGAGTTCTTACACCATGTATGAAATAAACTCAAAGGACATATCAAACCTCAAGGTCATATTATTAAAAAATTAAGAGGAAACAAGACCAGATACTTTTGATAGTTTTAGCTAAAGGAAGAATTCTTAAGCAAATGAGATTGAAGCAATCACAAGATAAAATAGATATTTTCCATTACATGAAAATGAAAGGTTTTGTGAAACAAAATCAATGCAACTAAAATAAAAAGGCAAGCTGTTGGTTGAAAAAAAAAACTTTGCCCCAAATATTTCAGATAAAGTTCTGGTATTCAAGATATGTAGGGAACTAATACAAATATCAATCAACCAAGAAGTATTTATTAAGTACTTACATTCAGATGCTTTACTAGACACTGGGCATATAAGAAAAAGAATGAAATTATTTGCATTGCATAATACTAACAGCCATATGAAAGATTGTTCTGAAGTATTAATAATGAGAAAAATGCAAATCAAAACGGCTCTTTAGTTTCACTTCAGGCCCTTTTTTTGGAAAAAGATAACAAAAAATGAGAACTGTCAATATTAAGTATATGCGCATCCCCAGCACTGAGAACAGTGCCAGGGATACAGTAAGTACTTAATAAATGCTTGTTGCCATTGAAGGGCCTGTGAGAAGATGAACACATTAATTAATATGTTGTCGATTCGTATTGGCCATCCATTCTGAAAGGCAATTTGGAACTATGCTAAAAAAATCTGACTAAAATGTTCATATTTTTTGGCCCAGGGATCCCACTCTTAGGCATATACCCCAAAGAGGTCAAATATATAAAGAAAAGTACCTTATAACCAAAATATTCATAGCTGCACTTTTTTGTAGCAGAAAGCTGGAAACAAAATAGATGCCTATCCATTAGGGCATGGCTAACCAAAATGAAGCATGCAATGGCATGTTACTGCCTCATAAAAAATGATGAATATGAGGATTTCAGAGAAGCATGGGAAGACTGATGCAACATAACTGATGCAGAGAGAAGTACGCAGAATAAGGAGAACGATATCCACAAAGACCACACCAATGTGAGTGGAAAAAAAGCCAACAAAAAAGAAAATGAAAACTGAATTCCAGGTAACTTTAATGACCTAAGCTGGCCCCTAGAGATGAGAAAATGCACCTCCCTTCTTGGTAGAACTGAAGGACCATAACTGTGGAATATTGCACCTATTCTCAGACTTGGCTTGTGTATTTGTTAGCTTTACTGAGCTGCTCCCCCTCCCTGCCTTCTTTTGTATTCCTTGTTAGAAGGAATGTCTCTCTGGGTAGGAGAAAGAGTCATATTCAGAAATGAAGATGAGATATAAAAAACAAGATACCAATTAAGACTTTTAAAAGGAAAAAAAATATGAGAAGACTTAAAGAAGGTGATTTCAAGGTCTTTTCCATCTCCATATCCTGTAATTCTAAAATGCAACAGAGCGTAAGACATGATCCACATCATTCTACTTAGAATCGAATTGGAGAAAACACTTGAAATATTGACAATAGAAAATAGAGTACTATGAGTAGTGAGGGCAGCAAGTGTTCTTTGGAGGTGATTCTACAAATATACGTGGCCTTCTGTGGTCAAGAAAGACTTCATGAAGGAGGTGGAACAAGCTAGGTCTTAGGGCTGGATAAGATTTGAAGAGGAGACAGAAAAGGGCAGAGCATTCCAAGCAGGGAGAACACCATGGATCTAAAAGTCTTATCTACTACTAGTGTTAGGCTATAACCCTACATGTTTTTAATTCCTTAACCAGCAGTTCCAATGAATGTCCTGAGATGCCCAGAGAAGGAAAGACTGAGAGAGAGGCAGAGAACAAGGAGATGGAGAAACATTGTAGTTCAAATATGCCCACATTCCACCCCCTGGATAACAGTGCCCGGACTCTCTCATTTTATAGGGTAGCTCTGCTAAGATTCAGGTCCCCCTCCCATCCTATGCTTCTCCAGGAAACTCTTATTGGCTTGTGACTTCTTCATTTATAGATGAGCTTTTCCTCCCTTGGACCATGGTACTCATCTTCCCAGATTGACCATTCTTTGACCCCCCGGAAAAACATGTCTGGAGTGTTCAGGTCAGGCCTTAGCCAAGGAGGGCCTTCCATTATGAGCTTTCGATGTCAAGCTGTAAGAAAACAAACCCTGCCAATCAGCATTCTGTGTTGAGGCCAAGTGAGGCAGTGACACACAGTGGAGAGAGTCCTGGACTTAAAAGCAAGAAGAACTGGATTCAGATCATGCCTAAGAAATTGGCTAACTTTGTGACCCTGGACAAGGCATTAAACCTTTCTGAGCCTCAGTTTCCCCATCTTTAAAAGAGGAATAATAATTGCACCTATCCACTAAGGTTATTGTGAGAGTCAGGCTCCTTAGTAGCACATGACTGCCTCTTCTGCTCTTTGACTCCTTCCTTAGGCGTAGGTGACCGAACGGCCATCATCAGAGATAGACTCCAGAAGCTGAGAGTTCTTGGGCTCCTCGGGGGAAGTTACATGGGACCATGGATAGAAAGTGGGGCCTGGGATCAGGAAGATTCATCTTCCTATATTCAGATCCAGCCTCAGATACTTCCTACCTGTATGACCCTGGGTAAATCACTTAACCCTGTTTGCCTCGGTTTCCCCCTCTGTAAAATGAGCTGGAGGAGGAAATGGCAAGTCTGTCCAGCATCTTTGCCAAGAAAACCCCAAATGGGATCATGACAAGTCAGACACGGCTGAAAAATGACTGTACAACAACAGGATCCTTGGTCAGAGCTGACAGCAACAGGAGGAAGTTTCTGAAATTATACCTACTTTGGAGAGTTTGATCACTAACAAGGATAATCCCAAGCCAGAACCTCAAGGAAACTGCTTGGCAGTGCAGAGTGCTGGCCCTAGAGTCAGGAAGCCCTGAGTTCAAATCCAGCCTCAGATACTTACTAGCTATGTGACCCTGGGCAAGTCACTTAACCTCTGTTTACTTCAGTTTCTTCATCTTTAAAAATGGGAATAATTATCCCCCTCTCTCCCAGGGCTTTGAGGGTCAAATGAGATAATAATTATAAAGGGCACAGTTCCTGACACATAGTAAGCACTATATAAATATTGGCTATTATTATAGTGGAGAACCGAGATAAAGGTTGAAATGGCTATTCAGCAGTTCCACAGTTTTTCATTTTTTAATGTTTATAATAACAACCTCCTAGAAGAGTGTAATAGAAGGGGCAGCTAGGTGGAGCAGTGGATGGAACTCCGGCCTTGTAGTCAGAAGGACCTGAGTTCAAATCTGGCCTCAGACACTTGGCACTTACTAGCTGTGTGACCCTGGGCAAATCACTTAATCCCAATTGCCTCACCAAAAAGCAAAAAAAAAAAGTATAATAGGAATTATGAGTTATTGTTGCTGTTGGATTGTGTCCTACTCCTCATGATACCATTTGGGGTTTTCTTGGCAAAGATTCTGGAGTGGTCTGCCATTTCCTTCCTCAGGTCATTTTACAGATGAGGAAACCGAGGCAAAAAGCGTGAAGTGACTTGCCCAGGGTTGCACTGCTAGTAAGCATCTGAGGCTGGATCTAAACTCAGGAAGCTGAATCTTCCTGATTCCAGACCCAGTGCTTTATCCATTGTGCTACCTATCTGCCCATGAGTTATTGTATCATGCTTTAAACTCT